CTGTATCTCGAACATCAAGCAAGTGGAGTCACAATATTCTACAATTACATGTGTTGTCCATACGATTATGTAAAATTTGTTACAAATCCGAATATCAGTATATATTTAATTTCCAGATTAAATGATAAGCACTTGTAACGCTGCGTTTAATGTTATTGACAAATTGCTCGCTCGATGTCATTAAAATGTCAGCAATTGACATCAAGCGAGCAATCTGTCAATATTATCTCCATGAGCAAGAAAGCTAAAAATAAATTTAAATTTATGATAAATTTCATATTTTTGAAAACAAAAAAAATATAAGTAAATTGTATTAACAATATTCGCAATAGAGGATAATGAATAAACTAACCTCAATGTAGCTACAAGACGTATCTCTGTTGGCAAAGGTTTTCCTATGACTTTTTTCCGTAATTTTGGTTTTAGTAAATCATGTAAATAATCAAATTGTGTTACTGATTTGTAAGTTTAAAAAATTCTTCATGATCATTCATTTGAAAGTATGTAAATAATGCGTGATGAGTATCAAAATTCTGTCTCATATTTGTAGTAATATGAGGTTTTATCCACCATCTTCTTCTACTTTTCTTTTTACGTTTCTTTAAAAATAATTTATTTTCATAATTTGCGTCCAAATTAATAATAAATTTGAATATATATTCAACGTTTCAATATCCATTCTTTGCATTTGTTCCGACTTCGACGACTCAATTGTAGAATAGCAAGTCGTATTTATGTGCAGACATACAACATACAACAAACGACAGCCGACATCGACATACGATTGATTGTAGAACGGGCCTTAGGGTCTGAGCACAAGAATTGTCGTAACACTTACTTATACTTAAATTGTGACGTAAGTAACACACAAGCTTTCACGTATGACGTACAACTTATTATCGTATCTCCAAGAGACGGCAATAAATCGTATGTCATATGCCCGTGCATACCAAAGCTTGTCATATATCAAAAGCTTGTGCATTACTTACGTCTACAACTTAAGTCTATAATTCTTGTGTTTAGACCCTTAAATTTACGAAAATAATAAAGTTAAAAGTGTTTAAATACTAAAATATTATTTATTGAAAGTAAATAAAAAATAAATATAATAAGTAAATTAAACTATAACCTATTTAAATACATTGTTAACTATTGTTAGGTTAGAAAATCTGTCACATCGCTCAGGACTTTTGATTCATAATTGGTAGAGATGGGATCAAATTCAATTTACTTAAAAATTCAAGTCAAATCCAATAATTTAGCTTCATTTTCTAGGGCTCAAATAATACTACTTAGAAATAATATTTCATACTTTATATTTGCAAAGTAATCGATCCCACCTTGTTAGTTTCGAATCTTACAAACGAGTACCTACGAGATTCGAAATATATTTACAAAGTACTTTTTATCATATAGAATCGAATTTTTTATAAGTAGTACTTGAACTCTAACAGGGTTGTTAGCGAAATATTGTACAAAAGAAAATATTCCTTATTTTTATATTCCTTATTTTTCTTAATTTTTCCAGTCTTTTTTTGAAAAAAATTTCCTGACTTGAGAAAGAGAAACTTTGAATAAAAACAAAAAAAAAATGTTAAAATATTTTATTTTACAAACAGTATTACAAAATATAAATATATATTTGAAAAATGAAATAAAGTATAGCTTTTATTATTAATTTTAAATATTTTATGAATATTTTTAACAAAAATTTCGTTTTGAACAAAATTTCATATGATATGTATCATTTTTATTTTCGAGCATTTCGAAGGGTATATTCAAGGTACATTTTAACATTTATTGGGTTATCTAAAAAGATATATGACCATCAACACACATCTAGTGACAAAAAACCGCGGATACTTTTTAGATGACCCAATAATTATACGAGTAGTATAGATACTCCTTCTTCTTAATCTTAAACGTGTTATTACACAAATATATGTACATTTGAATGTGTGTGTGTGTGTGTGTGTGTTGTATTCACTATTAAAGAAAATGCCGGACATTCTTATAGTATCTGATTATAATGTCTTTACTAATGCTCTTTCTTGAGGTTTTTATATTGAAACAGTTATTTGATAAGTCGATTATAGTTCTATTAATCTTTTTATGCGAATCGATAAATGTCGATTTATAGTAGATACATAATTGTAAGTCCGAATATGTATTAATCAAAAAGTATTAATCTCAAAAGTGAAAAGGCATTCACAAAATGTTCTTTTTTTTTTGCGTGATTATAATTTTCATAAATTTCAGGCATATTTGATGTAAGTTCGAGTCCACTTGGAAATACTGCTTTTATTTTTCGAAGTACTCATAGAGAGTTCGAAACTGCTTCAACAGATTCGAATCTTCTTGTAAGATACTTAAGAATCCCATCGCTAATAATTGGCTGACTGCTTAGTACACCCTGCTTAATACATCGATACACCCACTTATTTTATATAGTTTTATTTTTATTTTGTGGAATGTAGTTTGTTAGTAGTGTTAGTAGTGCGAACAGTGAAGCGCCATTTTATATGGCTGAAATCTACGATATATTATACGTAGTTTTATTCATGTATGAAATTATGTATAATACGTTGAGTTTGATACGTGCCTGTCCAGGTGGAAATCCAAACACCTCTCAGCATGTTGATTAACCATGCGCTTGTAAGAAACAATTTTCTCCGTTTAAACCAGTTTAACGAGATTAGTTTTTATAATGTTTTATATGTACATACATGCATACGCACACACACAGGCATCGCCGGATCCGCAAAAGAAATAAATTTTGTGAAATTGCTGATATTATTTTCGAATTAAACTGAATTAAAAAACTGTACTTTCTATTCATAATTCTGAATTGAATAGTATTCACAATGCACAGAAAATGCTAATATTATTTTTGGATTGAAAGGCATAGAGATATGCTCTATGCAATTCGTATAAATGAATAAAAAAGCATTTATGATTGAAAAAGATTTATTTTAACATTCATGAATCCGTATTTCTGAAAATCTGAATCCATTTTAATCCATTTAAATCCATTCTCGTTTGCTGAGCTGTGATACTCATGTTTGATGAGTATCGATTTCCTTACCATGAGTGTTACACAATATTATAGGCGAAAGAGTTAATTATATTTTATGGGAAGGAGAGAGATCCAGCTAACCTAATCTGCAATTTCAACTTGCTGAAGGCAGCCACATTCCTGGTTGGAAATCGAAAGAATAAGGTAGATAAGATACAATAGAAGGAATAAGGAATTAGGAATAAAGAATAAACAATTTCAATCAGAAACCGTGTATTCTGATGTATCCGATTTCTAAGGATTTCTAATTTCTAACCTATTGATTAAAATCATTTATTTTTTATTCCTGATATTGTGCGCAGGGTCTAAATCTGAGATGCGAGATGGCAGATGGCGAGCTTGATCACGTGATCTTCGAGCAATCCACGTGCCAAGAATTAATTTCGAACGTTACAGAGCTGTAAATTGTCCTTTAAGATTAGGTTGTAAAATAAAATTGTTTATTTTACAACCTAATTATGAATAAATAAAAAATACCTTATTAATTGAAAATGTCTTTCGCTTTATTAGAAACTATTAGGTGTTGGAATTAATTCGTAGCGTTTTTTAATGAAAGAATGTTATTTATTTCACATGAGCATTAAAAAATACATTAATGAAAGTACTTCCCATCACTTGTAAAACGCTACGAATTAATTCCAACACCTAATAATAATAGTCTTATATACTAAAAATAGATTGTTATAGACTCAGATGAATGTAGCAGATTCATGTGCAAGAAATGTTTTCTTAAAAGAAAATATTACATTGCAAAATTAGTAATTATAAATTTGAGCAATTTATAAGTTATATCACTTGATTTATATTCGTTAGAGTCTTTAATATATTAATATACTTTGATTTTATTTCATTCTATATGTGCAACATAAGCTTTGATCTAAAAATTAACTATCAAATTCTTTGTTTTCAAATACGTAACTTCAAATGCATAAAGAGGAAAAGAATTAAAAACTTATTTTCCTAAATAAAAATAAATATAAATTTTTAATTCTTTGCCTTTTTAATTCTTAGAGAGCCTGTAATCAGAGTGGCGCCATACGAGAGATGACGTCATATTTTAGCGAAATTCTGCGAGAGAGAAAGACATATACGGTCTCAGTCTATCCAACAGATTGTCAATTTTAGGATTAGGTGCAACAGCATTGAACGACATAGATATGTAAAGGTACATTGATAAAAAGTTATCGAAATTATTTTAGAAATATGGTTGGATGTACAATACCATTTTGTAACAATTCATTAAAAAAAGGATATGTTATGAAAATAATTCCGGAAGACACAGAATGCCGAATGAATTGGTTAAAGAATATAAATGGCAAATATAAAAATTGAATATCGTCAAAAAATTCATCTGTATGTGAGGTAAAGTAATTTATAAATAATGTATTTAAAATATTAAAATTAAAATGTAACATAAAATATACACAGATTAATTATAATATCTGAAGACATGGTAGTATCTTGGCACTAAGTATTGGATCATCTAAAAAGTGTCCGCGATACTTTGTCACTAGATATATGACCATCAATACATCTAGTGACAAAAAACCGCGGATACTTTTTAGATGACCCAATATATTATATGTATAGTCATCACATTGGTTACGAATTTAATTCTTTCTCTTTTTGTCATAATCTTTTCAATTACTACATGGGCTGAAAAGTCCCGGGATTTTTAATGAAAACAAGCGTTTTTTGGGCAAAGTTATATTTATTCTTCAACATAGTTGCCTTCGAGGGCGATACACTTGGTATAACGATTTTCCAACATTTCGATGCCCTTTCTGTAGTTCGAAACATCCAAGCCTTCGAAATACGCCTTGGTTTCCGCGATGACTTCCTCATTCGATGTGAATCTCTTTCCCGGGAGCCACCGCTTGAGCTTTGGGAACAGATAATAGTCGCTGGGGCCCAAGTCTGGAGATTACGGGTGAGCAACCAATTCGAATCGTAATTGGTCCAATTTGACCATCGCTTTCAAGGACGTGTGTGACGGTGCGTTATTGTGATGGTACAGAACTTTTTTCTTCGCCATATGGGGCTGTTTTTTCTTTATTTCGTCATTCAGTTTGTCCAATAACGCTGCATAATACTCTCCCGTAATTGTTCTTCCCTTCTGCAGGTAATCGATGAAGATTATGCCATGCGCATCCCAAAAAACGGAGGCCATAACCTTCCCGGTCGAGTATTGGTCTTTTGGCCGCTTTGGTCGGCTTTCGTGGCTTTTCAGCCACTCTGCAGACTGCCTATTGGACTCAGGCGTATGGTAATGGACCCACGTTTCATCCATCGTCACAAAACGTCGAAAAAAGTCCGCTCGATTATGCTGCAACAACGCCAAACTGACCGTTGAATCATCAACGCGCTACTGTTTTTGGTCGATGGTCGCGAGCAAACGCGGCACCCATCGTGCCAGTAGCTTTTTCATCTCCAAAACATCGTGCAATATGTATCCCGCCCGTTCTTTTAAGATGCCCACGGCCTCAGTTAACTCGCGCAACTTCACTTTACGATCACTCAAAACGATTCGATACACTTGCTTTCCTCATTCGTAGGCTCTTTTGGCCTTCCAGAGCGAGGTGCATCTTCGATGCTTGTACGACCCATTTTAAATTCATTAAACCACCGATAAACTGTTGTTCTCGAAGGAGCAGATGTGGGATAACATTTCTGCAACCATTTCAATGATTGTTCAGAAGTTTTTCTCATCAAAAAACAATGTTTGATCAAGATGCGATATTCCTATTTTTTCATTTTTTTTACGAAGGCGCCACTTAAACGACTGTAGCTTATAAACGAATGAACGAAATGCCATGAAACTTCATACATAAACTAGTGAC